GGGTTGTTGTAGGTTTTTCTGGGCTATATGGCCATGTTCTAGAGACATTTTCTCCTGACGTTTCGCCTGCATCTATGGCAAGCATCCTCAGAGGTAGTGAGGTCTGTTGGAACTAGGAAAAAAGGGTTTATATATCTGTGGAATGACCAGGGTGAGACAAAGGACTCATATCTGCTGGAGCTAGGTGTGAATGTTTCAACTGACCACCTTAATTAGCATTTGATGGCTTGGCAGTGCCTGGGGGAATCTTTTGTTGAGAGGTGATTAGGTGTGCTTGATCAGCCCCGAGTCCCCTTCAGGAGACATTTAGGGCCCTTCCACACAGCCATATAACATTATCTGCTTTGAACTGGATTATCTGAATCCACACTCAGATAATGTGGGATTTCCTCTTTTGATATTCTGGGATATAGGGCTGTGTGGAAGGGCCCTGAATCCACACTCAGATGTTGTGGGATTTTCTGCCTTGATGTTCTGGGATATAAGGCTTTGTGGAAGGCCGCTCAGAATATCAAGGCAGAAAATCCCACAATATCTGCTTTGAACTGGGTTATGGTAGTCCACACTACCATATATCCCAGTTCAAAGCAGATAATGTGGGATTTTATTCAGCTGTGTGGAAGGGGCCTTAGTCACTTAAAGTAAAGGGTAAATAATCATCTTATTTGACTACACAGTCTTAAAGACAAGAAGAGTTACTGATTAGTATGCTAATTTGACTGTCAAACAATGTCTATTTCTGTGGAGATATTAAAGGTAAGAGATGCCTTAACTTTTCATAATGACTATTTTTTCATGATCATTATTCTTTTATGTTGTTCTTTTTTTGCTGAAAAGTTTGGAGCAGTTAAGTTTCTCCTAACAAAAGAGCAAGACCATTGTTTCAAGGAGACTGATTTGACTTAAATAGTTACAACTGTTTGCTGCCTTTATTTAGATTTTTCCTAACTCCGTAGAACTACATCAAATATGCCAGAAACATTTCTTTGGCAAGAGCAAAGTTGACACAATTTTCAGAAAACTGTATGGAGATAATAACATTAATTTATGCTCAGTTAGCATGTTGATTCAATTTGGGACTGCTGAGAAAAGAACATAGACAAACAGCAGTGTTCCCATCAATCATTTTGACAACCTCAATGCAGTGGGTCTTTAAAAAATGGTTTACATTTTAAGTTATAATCTGCATCACATGAAACTGTAGACATTTAGATTTTCATATAGATTTGCAAATTCATAAACGTCATAATGACTTTTGTCGGATTTTCCCTGAGAGGGAGATTTACAAAGGTGGTCAAATTCTTCCATTCTGGAAATACCTTTTCTGAGACTGTGTTTCATGCATTTGCAATACTAAGTAATGAAACTGCATGATAAAGCTTTGGAATAGGCAGCAGTTGGTTGAGATGAGCAATACTCTATTTCACAGATTCTAAGATGCACCCCCTCCCATATAATCAAAACTCAAAAACTGGTATGTGTTATGTGATTTCAGCTTCACCAAACTGCAGATTTGGGTTCCTGGTGTGCCGAGGCTCTGAAGTTCCAAATCAGACACAAACAGGATGTCAAAGGGGAACTACTACCTAATCAGACTTAAAGGCAACGAATACATACAGAGCATTTATAGAGACTTGACGGCAATTTGAAATAATGGACCTTTGTCGCTCCAGATGCTGATTGGTGCAAGTTACAATCTGTGTACTCATTGGTGGAGGTGTGCCATCAGCTGCTACAGCTAATGGGTTCCCTAGTCTGGCAGGAAATTTAATAATGTCATTGCTCAGTTTGTAGATGTATTCTACATCCATCTCCTTTGGGTGCTTAAGGGAAGGAATATGGGCAAGGTCTGAGGCTGATGATTCTGATGTTTTAATTCTGTCAGCAAGAATTTTACAATGGGTCCTGGCTGAGAAAACACTGGATGCCAAAACACCTTGATGGGTTCCCAGGGAGAAAGAAAGATAGGGTGATGGGTGACTTGGTGAACTTTTGGGCTGGCTGAACCGAGGGTTCATTGTTGGCCAGGAAGGATATCTGGTGATTGTATCAACTGCCCAGAGGAATAATAGGATTAGCCCCTAGGTATGCTTGTGCAACTATGTATATGGAGAAATTGTCATTCTTGAGTGTCAGCCAGTGGGACCCTGTTGGAAATTACAACCTTCTTCAAACCTCTTCTAGTAATTTGTTTGTTTATAATCCTGTTGCTTACTTGGTGTATTTATGTTCTGTATGCAGCTTTCTTTCCTTGCTCTATGTTTTTCCTGAGGAGTTGTGAGAGGGGCTGCAGACCACATGATCCACTCTGGGACGAGCATAGAGCACAGACTTTTTTAGACTTTGGGACTGCTCAGATCGCAGACTGCAAACGTTTGCCTGCTGTTTATTCTAAGAGAGATGTTGTGATCGGATGGCACAGAAACTATCTCAAACATATCTGTAACTGACTGATAAGTTGTGTATTTATTTATTTATTTATTTACAGCATTTATATTCTGCCCTTCTCACTCTGAAGGGGACGGGGCTGATCATAGAACACATACATGGCAAACATTCAATGTCATTAAATGAACAGGACAAACAACAGATAGAGGTATTATGTTGGCATTTTTCTCCCAATTTCGGCGTCCTGGAGATGTGGTCTATTTCGGCCACAGGGGGGTGCTTTCGCTCCATCCTCTATGACGAAGAGCCCTTGATCACAGACGACCTCTTTCCTTTGATTGCCAGTATTTTCTGGTATTTAGTTTATGGTGCTGTAAAATACCTCCCAACTTAAGCCGTGCCGAATTTCTCTACTCATTGCTTAGGGGGATAGTATGCTGGGCTGAAGGTTAGGGGCTCACTCCGACCTGGGCTTCAAACTGTCAATCTTTCAATTTGTAAGATCTATTGCTGTTGGTGATTAACCAGCTGTGATAAAGCCCAGTCCTGTGTACCTGTGTATGCTGAACACATGAAGGTTGTGAGTAAACCAAATATGTTATTTTTACCAAAGTCTACTTTATTTTGTCTCTTGAGTGTTTATGGGAGAGTAGATATATACTGTATATATATATTTGGCACTGAAAAACACTTTGGAAAAAACTACTATTTTAAGCATTGGCATATTCTCTGTTCCTAACAGGTGAGAGACAATAGGTTGTTCAGTCTAACAACTGTAGCCAATTGCCTTGCATAGTTACATTTGGTTGTATATCATTTGAGAAGATTCTACTCAAATGGGTTTTTGGTTCTTCTCTAAAATGTTATGACTGCCATTTTCTAAAAGGTCATGCTTTTCTAAAAGACCCTCCCTGACTATATGATTGGACCTCTCCTGGTCACGGTTTTTGGGGGTCCCGGTTTTTTATAACAGGTACATCTTACAATCAATGTCCTAGACTCATGGGATTTTTTTTTAAAGGATCGGGTGCAGTAGTAAGGGCTGAGAGAGTGAAAGGAAAGGTAGGGAAGGGAAGAGTGGAGGTGGCAGGAATGAAGAGAGGGGATGGAAAAAATCTGTGTGTGCCAGGAGCATGAGGCAGCAGCTCTCCATTACTTCTCCATTATGGCTGCCTCATGTTCCTGACACACAGAACATCTTTTCACCACTGCCACCTCCACTCTTCTCTCCCACTTTCTCAGCTGGCTTCCCCAGCTCTCTCAGCTACTATTGCCATTCTTTTTTTATTCAGCAATGACAGTGACAAAGAGTGGCAGCCCAGAGAGACGAAGCAGCGTGTATTGCTGTCTTACAATTGATGAAATATGTTAGTTCCTTCTTCATCAGAAAAAGAATTAGTGGGTGAGAAACAAAATATTTGGGATAAGGTGTTTAGTGACTTTGAAGAGGGAAACAGAAAATGAAATGTCAACTTTTTATCTGGGAAAACCATGAAAATACAAGTGAAAGATGAGTGGCCGGAGTATCATTGTGTGGAAATCTCAGTTTCTTATACAGAAACATCATTTCCCTGTGGTCATCAATTTGTCAGGTGATGAAATTTGTCAGTAAGAAATTAGAACTTTTTGGGCACATGCCACTGCAGAAACAATGGCCATAAGTGAGGCCCAATTTACCTGTCCGAACGTATCTCCCTCTATGAGCCACCTAGGAGGTTAAGGTCTTCTGGGGAGGCCCTGCTCTCAGTCCCAGCTCCTTCGCTGGCACGAGAGACAGGGCCTTCTCAGTGGTGGTCCCTCAGCTATAGAACTCCCTCCCTAGTGAAATTAGATCAGCACCCTCCCTCCTGACCTTCAGGAAAAAGGTAAAAACTTGGATGTGGGATCAAGTGTTTGGTTAGTAATCTATCAGTGCAGTAAGAGAACATAGAATTGTGCAATGACAATCTGGAATGGCCACAAACTACAATATTGGACTGTGTGATTTTAAATGAATGGTTTTTAATGTTTGATATGCTTTTAATTAATTCTAAGACACACTTTGATTCCTAGCTAAACATCTCTAAAATGGGGGGTGTCTTAGGGTCCTTCCACACAGCCCTATATCCCGGAATATCAAGGCAGGAAATCCCACAATATCTGTTTTGAACTGGGTTATCTAAGTCCACACTGCCTTGATATTCGGGGATATAGGGCTGTGTGGAAGGGCCCTTGGAATCACAGATGTATGGTGGCGCTCCTGAAATTAGTGTGTGTCTTACTGTTGATGCCATTTTACAACTGAAGTTTGGTAAAAGTTGGCATCATTTAGACTAGAAAGTTGTGGTTTCTGATCTCAGAATAACTTTTAATTATTTAAATTACAAATTTGAATTCCTACTAAATTCCATTTGCAAAAAATCATATTTTATTTATTTCCAACTGAGGAACAAGATGACTAGACTGTGGTTTATAGCACCTTACTATACATGTTTACACAGAAGCAACTACCACTGCCTTCAATGGATTTATTTCCAAGTAAGTGCATAGGATTGCAGCTTTACTTAAACATTTATGTCATATATTGAAACAGCACATGGAGTTTTTGTACCAACAAAATTGGGATGACATAATGACACGTTAATTCTTTTTATGCACAAGTAAATCAAGCAATTCAATGTTCATTTTCCAAAGAAATATGTAATTTTGCAATAATGTCATGTCATCACTGAATAATTATTCTGGCAAACAATGAACTTGTTCTATTTTTTTAAAAAAAGGCAAGTCTAGTTAATCTATGTTAATTACAATTTCTCCACTGCTTCATTGGGTAACAATACTATGCTCTCAGTGGGGATACTTTTACAGTGCTAATTCATTTATCTCATGGCTATGACGCTTGTTGGACTCAATATTGCAAAGACCACTAACTGGGAGAAATGGTTGAGCTTTGCGGCATTATTTACATAGCCACAAAATTATGTAAATAGTGTGTGTGTGTGTATTCATTGACAGAAGGGTTTTGCTTCAGTGTGCCTTAGGAAATGCCAAGTTGATAGTAATAGATGTTTTTCTGGGGTTGAAATGCCAATTCAGCCTGATGAAATGCCTTGGCTGTGTTCAGATGCTGCATAGATCACTTTTGATAGGCCAGATTGCTCTTTAGGTAAATGCATTTATCCTTTATCAACATATCCTGTGAAGAAGAAGAAAAAAGTTTGGATGAAAAGCAAATAGCAAACAAAGACAACAAAATAAAAACAAAAAGAGAGAAGGGAAGGAGACTTATATCAGCTATGGGTAGTCTTAAGTCACCTATTTGAGAAATGCCTATGGCTACTCAGGGGTTGTTTCTATGTTGTTAAGATATATTTGAAATCACATATTCATTTGACATCCAGAGAAGATTGTAAGCTAAACTTCTTTCTTCTATTGCTTCTGGTTCATTATCATAGAATAGAATCCTAGAGTTGGAAGAGACCTCGTGGGCCATCCAGTCCAACCCCCTGTCAAGAAGCAGACAATCGCGTTCAAAGCACCATCAACAGATGACCATCCAGCCTCTGTTTAAAAGCCTCCATAGAAGGAGCCTCCACCACACTTCAGGATGGAAAGTTCCACTGCTGAACAGCTCCCACAGTCAGAAAGTTCAGGTGGGATCTCCTTTCCTGTAGTTTGAAGCCATTGCTCTGCGTCCCAGTCTCCAGGGCAGTAGAATACAAGCTTGCTCCCTCCTCTCTATGACTTCCATTCACATATTCACACATGGCTATCATGTCTCTTCCCAGTCTTCTCTTCTGCAGGCTAAACATGCCCAGCTCTTTAAGCCACTTCTCATAGGGCTTGTTCTCCAGACCCTTGATCATTTTAGTCGCTCTCTTCTGGACACTTTCCAGCTTGTCAATATTTCTCTTCAATTGTGGTGCCCAGAATTGGACACAATATTCCAGATGTGGTTTGACCAAGGCAGAATGGAAGGGTAGTATGACTTCCCTGGATCTAGATACTATAATCTTATTGATGCAGGCCAAAATCCCATTGGTTTTTTTAGCTGCAGCATCACATTGTTGGTTCATGTTTAATTTGTTGTCCACAAGGACTCCAAGATCACTTATCAGAGTACCACAGTGCACATGAGATGCCGTGTAAATTGTAGCCATGCACTCATGTACTCAATCTGTATCTTAATGATATTTCCATGTTTTTCATTTCAGAAGATTTATATTTTCCAAAACTGGACACAGCCAGTATCCCTCGATTCCTGTTTGCATACAATGCTGCCTTTTTTGCATGGATTAAAATGGACCTAAATCAAATTTCGAAAGAGTCGAGAGTGTTTATATGCTAAAGTAAGGAAACATGTTGACCATTAATTTCAGCGAAATGAATTTATGATTGTTATCAAGAGGCTCTTGTTGACTAGAACAAGTTAGACTTCTCAAGTATTTAGATGTCATTTTTCAATCTTCTGACACTTGGGTATCTCATTAATCTTCTGCTTTTCAATCATCATCTAATAGACTTTTTATACTAAAAAGGACAGTTGGCGGAATGGGGGGGGGGTCGACCCACAATTTTGGGAATTGTAGTTCACCCACAATCAAAGAACCCCACTAATGATGGATCTGGACCACACTTGGCACACAGACTCCCAATGATGACATACTGGAAGGGTTTGGGGGAACTGAACCAGCATGATGGAAGTTGTAGTTCATCCTGTATCTAGAGAACACTGTGAACCACACTGATGATGGATCTGGGCTAAACATGACACACAGATCCCCCATGACCAACAGCAAATGCTGGAAGAGCTTAGGGAACTGACTCAGCATGATGGGAGTTGCAGCTCACCCTGCACCCAGAGAGCACTGTGGACTCCTCCAGTGGTGGGTCTCGACCACACTTGCCACACGGACCCAACATGGTGGGATTTGAGGGTAATTAACTTGGCATGGTGTGAGTATGTAGTCCACTCATATTTTATGCATTTTCTTAATGGGGGCATTCATAAAATCCAATTAGTTTTTCAAATAAATAGTGTTACAAATTACCAGAGAACTAATCCAGGCATCGTTGGGTATCTAAACCAGTTAAGAAATACAGAAAACAAGATTGTTGGTGCTGTTAATGTACCAAGTATTCAAGGGGACAGCCATCCCTTGTCACTGGGCTGCCTGAGCCCAAAGAGCTGCCTGTCGAGACAACAAGAAAAGAGAAGATTTAGGATTACCAAATTTTAAAATGTATTTTTCATCTTGCTGTCTCACATGAATAAAGGACTGGATAATGTTGAGAGATCAGAACTTGTTAAATTTAGAGGGGCACAATCTGAGATTTGGTTCGCATGCATATTTATGGTATGACAATGCTACAAAATGCAGACTTTGGAAACCATTATATGAGGAGAGCTCTGTTGAGAATTTGGAGTAAATATAAATGAACCAAAACACCATTATGAATTTCAGTACAGGAGGCACTTTATAGAATTGAGAAAAAAATATAATAAAAGATTTATTTAAATTGGACTGTAAACCGTTTTTGAGACACCTTCAGGCTGAGAAAGGCAGTATATAAATATGGCAAAATAAATAAATAAATAAATAAATAAAATAGCCAAATTAATTTCAAAACAAGGGAATAGCTGATGGCAGAAGGATGGAATATAACTTGCAGGAAAGATATAAAATGGATTTAAAACTGTTTGGCTTTGAACTAAATAGAAGTGTATTTGAGTTACAATTATGTGTGAATGATAACCACTTAATTGATAAAATCTATGTGTCTGTGGAAAATAGAAATGGAAGAAGAAGTAATTAAAGAATGTAAGACTAAATTGACACAGACATTTGGCTATAATATAGAACTAGAGAAGTGGGAAAATGTAGCAGAGGGGACTAAAATTTATACTAGCAAATAATCTTAAGGATAATTACTATTAAATGATATTTAGATGTCATTTAACCTTTCAAAAATATTAAAAATGCATAAAGGTGCAAATAATAAATGTTGGAAGTGTGAAGTCCATGAAGGCTCCTACTATCATATGTGGTGGACCTGTAAAAAGGCTAAAAATTCTGGAGACAAATTTGTGGTGTAATCCAAAAAAATCCTTAAGTCAAGAATCATCTTTAAGAAAGAGCTTATATTACTAGGACAGAAGAGTGATTTCAGCTAACTATGAAAAGAAGGTTCAAGCCTGGCACACTTCACTACTGCCAATGTGCCAGATTGAAGACAACAACTGGGTTTGAAGGTAACAAACAGATTCAATCTGACCAGATAGGATGTCAGTACAGAGTCTCCACACTAAAAGAACTGACATAAGGCTTACAGAAAAGTAGAGAACATTTTATCTTCTTAACAGCCATTCAAAATGCCCATGCCCTCCCCTGATGGGCAGAAAAGCTGGTCCACTTTTGATCTGGGCTCCTGTTGGCTGGGGAACCTTCCTAACATCACTGTCTGAAGGAGGTTCCCTTATGGCAGGGAAAAAGGAGCAGCTGTGGTTGGTGAAGTCAAAGTCCAAACCCATTTGGAGATCCGTCCTCAAGAGAGGTGTGAGTCCAGGAATTTGTCAATGAAAAAGGTAAATAGTTCCATGATTGACTTAAATGTCCATTCCGGTAAATATAAAGGAAGGAGCTCAGAGAACACAATGGCTTTTAATGCAAATTATGGAGGAAACTGTATATATTTATGAGTGATTCTCAAGGAACTACGTGAGCAGCTTTGAAAATGTAGGCAAGCCTCTTTTTGTCAAAAGGGCTTGTCAGTATAGAGATAGAAAAAGTACCAGCCTGGAATTGGGGGATGTGGGCACATTTCCTTTCCAGATCCCCTGAGGTGATCTATTTATGAAAGGTGAGTTGCAGTTTGCATATACACAAAGGAAATCCCCTCAAACTAGTTTGGGGTTTGGGCGTACATACATTATCTAGCTTAGCCGTTTTCGGTCCCCAGGCAGGGGATTAAGTAAAACAGATTTATACATTTATAGTTCCAGTTCCCCTTCTAAAGGTTTGATTCCATTTAATTCCATACAATTTATATAATTTCATAAAAGTGGATTTCATTTACAGGAGGAAATATAGCTGACAATTAATATAGCAATTGAAGCTGGGTGCCACTTTGACATAGCAAAACCCAAGAAAATAAAAAATAAAAATTAAATCATTTTTTAAATCTCTTTGTTTATGTTTAATCAAGAGGGGACAATTTTTTCAATAACAGGACTATTGGACAATCAAATAAAAAAGAACATGAAAGAATACTGCACGTCTGTCATTCATGGGGGTCTCAGTCATCTGTGGAAGTCAGAGCTGAATCGGTTGAAGGTACTGCAAATCCCATCATCCGTTGTCCATACTTCCCCAAACATATTGTTTTTATGATTAATCAATATGCTTTAATTATGTTCAATGTGTAATAATGAAAACACAGCCTGCATATCAGATATGTACATTACAATTTGTAACAGTAGCAAAATTACAGTTATGAAGTAGCAACAAAAATAATTTTATGGTTGGGGGTCACCACAACATGAGAAACTGCATTAAGGGGTCGCGGCATTAGGAAGATTGACAACCATTGATCTAAGTGGTAGTGTAGATGGGACCTCTCTTTGTTACACATAAAAATAACTTTGAATTGGAATTGAACACACAAGGAAACATAAACAAAAATATTGTCCCTCAACTGCAAAACATTTCAGTGGGTCAAAACAGCAATTTATCACTAAAGTAAATCCTCCAGAAATGTGGGAAATCATCACAGCCCTAATGTCAGAGAACAGAGTAGAGAAAATATGCCAAAATATTCATTTTGAGGCATTCAGAACATTTCCAAAACTTGGCATTGACTAGATACAATACAAAGAGAATTTTATATAATTTCCTGGAACTTGGCAGCCCGGGAAAATAAAATGGCAGAAAAGGATTTATTGGAACTCTACAAAAATATTTACCTGCAAGAGACTTTGACACACAAAATTAATCCATCATACCTCAAGGGTTATAAGATATTTAGTTACCCAGTTGTAAGGAAATCTAAGAAGGTTGAGGAAGTGTTAGTTTGGTGCCCTTTATTTCAATAGAATTGGCAGGAGAATCTCAGAGGGTGGGTTTTTGATTGCAAAATAACTTCTGCCAATACAAATTAATACAGGCAAAATGTTTTTTTCTGTATAAATGTATATTTTTCCCTATTAATGATTTCCTACCAACTCCCAAAGTATGAAAAGATTGTAAACTGCAAGCCTTTGCTGTCTCAAAAATGAATGGGGTATGGTAGCTATTATGGAGACTATAGTGTGATGAAGTGTAAATTTTTATCTACAGTTATGTATTGTTATAGATAAGAGTTTGTAAGGGTAAGTATATAGTATTGCATAATATTGGGGGATGGTAGCCAGTTCAGCTCACTTTGAGCTGAGTTGCTATGGATATGGGGGGCGGGGGGAGCCAACTGCCACTTGGCAGAGCAGCCATTTTAAAGCAGTTAGTCTGTGGTCAGTGAACTACAGAAGTGGCTGGTTCTGTCATGTGTGGAGAACCAGTGAGGATTCTGTAGTTAAAGAACTACAGGGGAAGGCTGATTCTTTGGTATTAAGAATCAGGAAGGTTTTGGCTTTGAGCCAATATAGTTTAGATAAGTCGAGTGACTTATTTATATTAAAAGTAACGGTTGTGGAAAAAGAGGGGAAGCCCTAATAAGCATCTTTATTGTAACAGAACCATCATAAAGAAAGGATAAGCGTGTGCCTGAAACAATCTGTTAAAGAAAGAAACATCTTTTTAAAGGAACTAAGTTTGAGACCTGTTTGTTAGAAGAATTAGACCTCCTAAGAGTTATTTAAGAACTGTTATAAATGTAACCATTGAAGATCTGTACCTCTAAGAGAAAGGACACTTTGAAACCAATGATGTTTTCTAGGGCTGGGCGGTTTCGTTTTGTTAATTCGTAATTCGTTAAAAATTCGTTATTTTTTTATAACGAAGCGATAATGAACCATTCTGGAGCAACTTAAAAACGAAACGAATTTTTAAATTCGTTTCGTAAATGCTTCGGATTTCGTTATGTATTCGTTTCGTTATCGGTTTGAGGTCGTTTCGTTATTATCTCCGCATGTCTGGGGCAAGTTTTATAGTTGTTTTTTGTTTAATTAGTGAAAAAAAATTATAATATCACACCAACAGTCAACAACAGAGGGAGAGGGAAGCTTCAGAAGTTTTTTTAGCGTATTGCGCGATCGCGGCCGCCATTAACGAATCGATTTGTTATTGTTTCGTTATTGTTTTGTAATTTTTTTACCATTTACAAAATTTCGTAAATATCGAACTTTTTTTAAGGAAAATTTCGGAATTCTTTTAAATATCGAAACGCAAAAAACCCCCAAAAAACGAATCGATTTTAGAAACAAATTTTTCCGTTGTTACCCAGGCCTATTCTGTACCTCAATAAACTTGTTACAGTTTCTTTTTAAAGTCAAGCCTATGTTACCATTCCTTTCCAAGTCAAGTCACGCTACATATTGAAGAAAGACCAAAGCAACATTACAAGCTATTGGTTGTGTCATCAATATAATAAGCCCTCACAAAGAGGTGACTCCTTTTACCAACTCTCTACATATTGGTAGCAGTTATATTTATACATCCTTACAATTTGGTGGCATCATTACAAATTAGTGGCCAAGCCTTTACAATTAGTAGCAGTAATATACGGGCTTCTTCACATATATAGCAGGGGTCCTCAAACTAAGACCAGGGGGCCAGATACAGCCCTCCAAGGTCATTTACCCACCCTTGCTCAGGGTCAACCTAAGTCTGAAATGACTTGAAAGAACACAACAACAACAACAATCCTAACTCATCAGCCAAAAGCAGGCCCAATTTGTTAAAACTGTTTTTCATTTTAATTATAATATTGCTTTTAAGTGTTTTTTGCATTACAAATAAGATATGTGCAGTGTGCATAGGAATTCATTCATTTTTTTTTTACAAATTATAACCCGGCCCTCCAAAAGTTTGAGGGACTGTGACCTGGCCCTTTGTTGAAAAAGCTTGTGGACCCCTGGTGTATAAGTTTTAGTAACCCTGCGTTAGGTTGATGAGGGTTGATGTGGATGGTGTTGGAGGATTTCAGAGAGAGAGAGTTTGTACATATTGTATGTACTGTGTTTATGCTGCTGTAACTAAAGAAAACACCCTTCTTTTAGGAAAGAACAACTTTGTTTGTGTGTTCTTGTTCCTGGAGAAGATACACTACAGCTACCTGAAAGTATCTGGCTTCTTAACTGGAGCTAATAGAATCCCTTCCACTCTAACAGGGAATTTTATGACTGCATAGAACCCCTGACACGTTTCACATGAGAAACACCTTGGGTAGAAAAGTGCTGTCAAAACAAATCCACAAGTCATCCTGTCCATTATCAGCAGGTGTCTAGTTAGGGAGATATGTGGTACCAGCCTCTACTGACCATTAGATTTCACTAGCAAGTTCTAAAATATACCTGACAATAAATATAATCAACAGGGATTTAAACAATTTAGACTTTATATACCAGCACAATGCATGTGACTTCAGTGGACATAGCTAAGAATCATTACATCAATTTGAGCAAATGAAGTGACCATGAAGCAAAAATAGCAAACTTAGCAGGTCATCACCATCATGATAGGCTGTCTCTCGAGGCTGAGTATTATTGCCTTCCAAGAGTAGAGTCTTCAAGGTGAGTCCGTATACCTCCAATGGTCTGGATCTTCACGGACGATCTTCAGGCCAATCTGTTTCCCAACCTACATTTTCGGGCTGTGTAGATGGAGTCTTAGATGTCTGCTAACAAATTGTCCCAGAAGTTAGCTGTTGTCTAATAACAGCAGCAGATAAAAATACTAAGGCTGCAGAATATGGCTGTTTGATGCAGAATGCATGGTAGCTAAGTTGTTTTTTCTACTCTAGAGGAGAGGCGCTCAGCTCGTTGCAGGCAGACCATGCTTTTAAGGAGGCTTGATACCTGTTTCTACTCTAGAGGAGAGGCATTCAGATGCAGGCAGGTGCACATGTTTAAGGAGGTTATTTGTTCTTAAAGCTTTTTTTCTACTCTAGAGGAGAAGTGCTTGGCTGCAGGCAGGCGTGCACACTTTAAGGAGGTTTCTTACTTGTTTCTACTCTATAGGGAGGTGTTCGGTTGCAAACAGGTGTGTGTGCGCTTTAAGGAGGCTTCTTGTTTAAAGCTATTTTTTTCTACTCTAGAGGAGAAGCGCTTGGCTGCAGGCAGGCGTGCACACTTTAAGGAGGCTTCTTGTTCTTAAAACTGTAGGTGTTGCAGGCAGGCACGTGCACTCTTTCTCTCCCAGGCCTGCACTACATCAGTCACACTCTTTCCAAGGCATTTTAAGGAGGCTTCCCACTTCCAAGTAAAGAAGAGTGATGATCTTCAGGGAATGAGGGTGTTCACTTTGTTTGCTGGATGTACAGTCCACCAAAAATCTGGGAGGTGAGAACAGTTGCTAATGCAACCCCTAACCTCTGATACCACTCTTTCTGGGATTGTTTGTCCTTATATCCTTCATTAAGAACTGGATTAAAAGCATCAGAGATAAGATATCACTTTTTCTGGGATTGTGTGTTCTTATTGTTATAGCTCAGCCAGTGGCTGATGGGTTCACTGATGAATCGGAAGGGATTTTGGGATTTTCAGAGGTTTGTAGTGATGAAGGCTCAGGTCAGGTTTAAAGTGTTATGGTCAAGGCCAGGTAAATGAAACTGGCTCAGACAGTATAGATTTCCAAGGTTGGACAGTGGAGCCAAAAACAATATCTTTAGATAAGGGGTTGAGTGAAAAACTAATTGAAACAGAAAGCTCTCAAGGAATACACCTGGCACTACATCGTGTGAAGGACACCATCGGTGGCAGTTTCATAAATGTGTAGAAACACTTATTTGTGTGTGATGAAGTCAAAAGTTACATATAAATAATTTTGATTTTTCAGATATGATGATATCTAGAAGCAAGAAGTCTTCTTAAGGTAAAATGGTCCTTAAAAACATTTTGATTTGATCTAGTCTTTTCTGACTGGGACAATTGGGAAGTAAAGTATTTCCTTTCACTTTTACCTAATCAAATAAGAGGCACCCTTAATTTTGGATTACATGGTGATCATGTTTCTTACTTTGTGTACAATGTCTGGATGGATGAGGTACTTCTAGCACCCAATACTTGCCTGGCCACTGAACAGCTAGTTTGAGTCTCTGTATGTAGAAGACAAGGTTGGTTTATTCTGGTGCTGAATGGACAAGAATGGTCATTCAGCACCAAACCACAAACCTTCTTAGATTTCCTTTCTGAGGGCCCTTCCACACAGCCCTATATCCCAGAATATCAAGGCAGAAAATCCTACAATATCTGTTTTGAACTGGGTTAAATGTGGGATTTCCTGCCTTGATGTTCTGGGATATAGGCTGTGTGGAAGGGCCCTGAGCCAGAAAGCATGGGAAGAGCAGGTTCCCAGAATACCAACACAATTAAAACTGTCAACTATACCTTCCTGCTTGCAATAGAGCTAGACAAAAGATGTTTGGCAGTCTACACACTGTAAGCTCCATGTCAATGTTGTCCCACTCCTTGCACACTCCTAGCTGGCAAAAGCAAGGGTCAATCTCTTTTCATCTCCTTTAAATGAACATGGTTCAGAGTTTTGCAATGTATCTGCTGCCATATTTGATGGTTTGAAAAATGATTACATAGACTGTTGTGTGATCAAGAGCAGTTTTATTGCTTGGAAGCAATCACAAACCTTAGAAGCAAGGTTGCCATGCTGTGCCCTTACCTCATGAATGGCCATGCATCTATGGATAACAACTATGATCCACTTGATCTCCATTCTTGTTGATTCTCTTTTGCCAGGGAATTGGGTGCCATGAGGTTTGAAAAATTGGGCTTTCTAAGAGATGCAGGCACTGTATTCTTCAGTTTATTCAACTTGTCTCTCTCCTCCTGACATTTTCTCAAGCATGGTGCGCAAAGGTCTTTGTCTTCCACCAGGTAAAGTGTCTCAAGTCGCTTGATACTGTCAATAAAGAGTTCTTCTTCTGTGGGCCCAGGGAAAGGGTTTCTTTTGGCATTCAACTTCTTGAGTTTGGGGAGTTTTGCAATACTGTTTGGGATGGTAGTCAGCAAGTTGTCAAATACTCCAACTTCTTGAAGCTCTTTTAAAGCCCCCAGAGTGGTTGGGAGATTGTCAATATGATTTAGGCCAAGGTTAAGGTTTCGCAGGATCTTGAGCTGGTTTAGCTCCACTGGCAAGCTCCGAGCTGTGAGTTTGTTGTTGCAGAGGTTCAGAAAAACAAGATTCTGTAGATTTCCTATTGTTTCTGGTAGTCTGTCAATTTGGTTGCTATGCAAATCCAGCCAACGTAGATTTTCAAATTTTTCAATTGAGTCTGGGATTTTCTTGATCATGTTTCTGCTGAGGTCTAATTCATCCACATCAGCCAGTTTAAGGATGCATTTGGGGAAAGTTGTGAGACCCATTTTGCTGAGATCAAGGCGAAACTTCCCATCAAAAGTTACTTTGATGCAAGTCTTAGCGACTTTAAGAGTGATCTTTTTCCCTTTGAGGGCTTTTGCTTTTCCCTTTCCCTTGGCCATTCTCAGTTAAATTAATGTAGTTGAGAAGAGATAAATGGAAAACAGCTGATGAAGGAGTTCCTGTGAGGTCTGCTGCAGCTTTGATGTTGAGCCTTAATTAAAACATACACACAGATACAGAACAAAATTAAATATATGCAGGTCAAACTTTCTTCCTGAAAGTCACAAATGCTTGTTAGAAAGCCAAGACATTCCTGCCCTTTCTATATCATTCAAAAAAAGGAGTGAATAAGCAAGAGCTCTCTCTATAAATTAATCGGGCTTCTATAAACATGCTCATATCAGCTTAACAGCACACAATTATCAAATATAATACAATACAAAAGCAAACATTTTCAGAATGCTATTCTATATAATACAATTGGACATATTTTTCAATATGTATACATTTTTCATCCAGACTGCGGGAAACAGACATAGCTAAGAGAGAGATAACAGCAATTCTTCACCAACCCAACTCTGGTCATGTACCAAAACTCTTCCAAGTTATTTTTGCACCTAAATCAGAAAATGTGTAAATGCTGCTCTCCCTCCAATAAAAATGTACTAAATCACTAACAATGTGCTGCCTTTTCATGATAACCAAAATTAACTTTCTGGGATAGCTGTCTCCCACTCTGGCTGGATCTATACTGTCATATAATCCAGTTTCAGAATGCAGATTAACTGTATGGATTACATGGTAGTGTAGATCCAGCCTCTGTCTAATGGTAGATGTTTTACCACATAATTTTGCTGGCGGTTGTTAGATACACAGGTTTTTATTGTTAGCTGTTCTGAGTCTCCATTGGTAGAAAAAGGTAGGTTATAAATACATATAATAAGAAAAAGTTTGGGTTCTCCTGGGGGCCCTTCCACACAGCCCTATATCCCAGAATATCAAGGCAGAAAATCCCACATTATCTGCTTTGAACTGGGTTATCTGAGTCCACACTCATATGTGGGATTTTCTGCCTTCATATTCTGAAATATAGGGCTGTGAAAGGGCCCTGGGAAGATGAAGCTCTTGTTTTTCACCATGCTACTTGCAGAAGGGAATGACTCCTTTTAACATAAGAGTGAAGGTACAATATTTCCATTGACCCATGTATAAGCTGATCCACGTTTTTAAATAGTTTTTAAACAAAAAAAAATCTAGATTATCCATATATATATATATATATATATATATATATATATAAACATTTTAAACTATCAAAAACATGCCTGTTAGAAAGAAAAGAGAGAAATATAGAAACTTTAGCACATTAAAGGTCCTTTCCCTTTGAGATGTCCTGCTGAAACAAATTAAAAGTCTTCACTTGTTTACAGAAGGATAACAAGGAGGGATCCTGTTCAAGGTTTCTCGGAAGAGAATTCCAGAGACTGAAAGCAACTACTCTGAAGACTTTATCCTATGTTCCCACAAAAGGTGCCTGTGAAGGTGGAAGAATAGAGAGAAGGACCTCCTCTCTATATCTCCAAATATGGGCAAGATCATATTTGTAGATATTGTGTTAGATAGTCAGATAGGCCTTTGTAAAGACATAGTTACTGCTCTAAAGAGTGTGCATAAATGGACTAGCAGTCAATAAAGCTGTTGTTATGAAATTATTTGTTCCCTGCTGTTTCAATCCTGTGAGCACTGACTTACCACTTCATCACACAGGGTTTTTTTACCTGTCATAGAATGCATCCAGCACAGTTCAAGGGCAGAGCTTGCTGGATCCCAACAGATCACAAAGAGCTACTTCCAGCAGGGCTTTGTCCTTGAACTGTGCTGAATATATCCTAAGAAGAGACAAGGAAAACATGGGACGCTTCCTGTGTTCTCCTTGCCAGCAATGGGGTGAGTGCGGGGGGAAGCTGGGCAGTGGCACTTTCCTCCATGTGATGGGGAAGGCAGCACTATGGGAGATGTTGGGCACAGAGCAATGGATTCCCCTGCTGTCCACTAGATTCACCATGTTGCCTGGCAACCCCCCCCCCCCATCACCCTCATTAAGTGACTTCATGTGATGAGGTCCTAAATTCCACATACAAAAGTTGAGATGCTACCAACATGATTCCACATATTACTCCTTAGAAGACAGCTCTCTTCTGTAGTTACCTATCCCGAAGAATTGTAGGTTATTTAGGCTTCTTCTCTGTCACATCTTTGGATCTAAATTCTTCTTTTCCTCACTTTTTACCTTGTTCATGAAATATGTATAGTGGGTTCTTTGTATTCACTGGAGTTTGATTGAAAAAGGAAGGGAAGACACGTGGCAGCTGAAAAGAACTAAAGGAACCACACCATAGAATAGGATGGAAGTTAAGGTAGACCTTAGGGTGTGGTGCATCTTTATGGAAAACCTTAATGGTGTGTCCTTTCGGGAGGAATTAAAATTACAGAGGCCTTACAAATGTCTTCAGATGCAACTGGCTCACTGGGCTTTTAAGTTTTATTTTAGGGGAAGATGGTGTGCAGAAGTGTGGCCGCCAAATTGGCATGAGATAGGAGTTACAAGAGACCTCCGGTTTTGGATCCCGCCCCCCATCCCTGTCCTGGTATTAGTAGCAGTTGGGATTTGAGCAGATGAATTGGCAAATTCATCCATCCAGTTTTGGTATGATAACATGGTACAGGTCATTAATACCTTGCCATCCACATCACTTGGAGTAATGATGTAGGTGCAAGGAAATTACTCAACACTGTCTGAGGCATTATATTTTGGTGACAGCACTACACATGGTAGGAGTAGACGACAAATTAGCTGGTGTTCTTTCCTGCATGCAGATAGAGCGCCTCAGACAACTAGCACCAGAAGCCATGCACAGGCCAGATCTGTTACCACCAGAAATATGGAACTTTGGAAGGAAGAAATAGTTAGGATGATTGGGTTGTTCCTTGCACCTTCTAATTGACAGTTATATTTGAGGGTGGTAAAACTATTTTTTTCAATTCAGAACATCTAAGGGCTTGTCAAACCAATGACCAATTTCAATTGGTCACATCCTGCAATATTGTGTATCACTCAAAATCATAGCCTTGAAACCAAAAACTATGAGAACCAGAATATCTGGTATAGTAGTGTGGTGGAAAGTTCAGCTGACACTGGGTATTTTCCAAGCATTAAGGGAGACTTGGCTCAGGTTTGCTCAAGTAACCCTTTTTTGTGCTGCATCTCACTTGGCCTTTTTATGGATAAGCCAATTAGTCCCTTTGTTGTCTTTTGTGTATGTCATCTGATAGGGCACCCAAATAGGGAGATTTAATGACTGATGATCAATGTGTCTTTGTGATTATTTGTACAGACAGACCAAAATGGGATGAGCAGTATTATCTGTCTACAAGCTTAAAGTAAAACAGCACTTTAACTAGTCTGTGCCTTGCAAATACATGCTAAGGTCAAAGGCAATCACAGGGGTTTCTAGTTTTGTCACAGTTATTGCTCCCCGCTGGCTAATTTCAATTCTAGACACACAAGGGGATGGCAAAAGTAAGGTTTGGAGCATATTCATTTAGAATTGGTGCCTCATCAATGTGTTACTCCATGCAGTCAATCAAAAGGATAAAGAGAAAAAGGTCTTCATCATATCAAAGGTGCATTCAGTCACTGCATTATTAATGAAGTTGATGTATTTCTATTTTGCAGATACCAGGTAGAAACCGGTGCGGAGCTGTGTTGTGATTTGTGGCCACAGTTACGGTATATCCATTAGGCTGTGTGCCAGGCTTGGAATGACCCTATTAGTTCCAAACTGGATGAAGGAGATTAGACAATAATTAAATGGTATGATAATATGAGCCTTCAATAGCAAGGGCTTTTGCCATTGCTACTTCAGGAGTGCCTTGGCCTCCACAAAATATATTAAAAATACATTTAAGGGGTTGTTAAAGGTCAAGGCTCTGATTCTTCAAGCCATTTAGGATTTGGAGTTTATGAAGGCCAGTTGTCTGGGTGCTGAGACAATGTGGTCTGCCAATATATCCTGGCAAAAATGGGATCAACGATTTGGACAATGGAACAGCATGCATGTTTATAAAATTTGAAGATGACACCAAATTGGGAGGGATGGCTAATACTCCAGAAAAGAGGATCAGAATCCAAACGATTTTTAACAGATTAGACCAGGGGTCCTCAAACGTTTTAAACAGAGGGCCAGGTCACAGTCCCTCAAACTGTTGGAGGGCCGGATTATAATTTGAAAAAAAACATGAATGAATTCCTATGCACACTGCACATATCTTATTTGTAGTGCAAAAACACTTAAAACAATACAATAATTAAAATGAAGAACAATTTAAAAATATATAAACTTAGTATTTCAGTGGGAAATGTGGGCCTACTTTTTTTTAGTTATTGTTTATATGTGATTTATATTAATTGTATTGTATTTATTGTTTTTGTTTATTGCTTTTGTTTATTGATGTACTGTTGGGTTTGGCCTCATGTAAGCCACTCCGAGTCCCTTGGGGAGATGGTGGCGGGGTATAAATAAAGTTTATTATCATTATTATTATTATTATTATTATTATTATTATTATTACTTTTGGCTGATGAAATAGGATTGTTGTTGCTGTTGTTGTTGTGTGCTTTCAAGTCATTTCAGACTTAGATTGACCCTGAGAAAGGCTTGGGTAAATGACCTTGGAGGGCCACATCCGGCCCCTGGGCCTTAGTTTGAGGACCCCTGAATTAGACAAACGTAATAAAATGAATTTCAACAAGGAAAGTGTAAGATATTGAGCTCAGAGCATATTCTCTGAGAGCAATAGCCTGATTGACAGCTCTTATTCACAATCTTATTTTACCTAAATTCTGAGGCCCAATCAATTCAGAATATGGTGAGACTATTAACCTGTCTTGACTATGATCCTAAAATAGTATCCACTTTCTGAGCATCACACTGCTGGCTCATGTTCAACTTATGATCAACGACAATCCCAAGATCCTTTTTCACACGTAGTGTTCTGAGCCAAATTGGAAGGGTATTTTTTTACTTAACGTGCAAGAGAAATGAGAATGGATATGCTGCCGTGGAGGGGGGGGGGGGGGGGGGGAAGAGGAGTAGAAAAAAAAAAAAATAAAAAAGTAGGTTTCTCCCAAGATTCTGGAGGGAAAAAAAG